ACAGACTGCGACCGGTCAGAGAGAAAGGAGGAGAACCACCGCAACACAGTGCCTCCCACCCCTAACTCTTCCAACCGGTGCAGCATGATACCATGGTCGATGGTATCAAAAGCCGCTGAGAGATCTAACAGGACCAGGACCCTGTCCCGAGCCCTCCAGAGATCATCAACCAACGCGACCAATGCCGTTTCCGTGCTGTACCCGGGCCTGAAGCCCGACTGGAACGGATCCAGATACGTTGTTTCATCCAGGTGCTGGGGGAGCTGTTGCGCAACCACACTCTCAACAACCTTCGCCACAAAACGAAGGTTGGAGACCGGACGATAATTTACCAACATTGCCGGGTCCAGGGAAGGCTTCTTGAGGAGAGGCCTCACCACCGCCTCTTTCAAGGCGGCAGGAAAGACACCCTCACCCAGCGAAGCATTTATAATCCCCTGGAACCAGCCTCGTGTCACCTCCCGAGAAGCCAGCACTAACCAGGAGGGACACGGGTCCAATAAACAAGTGGTCGCGTTCAGTCTACCCAGAATCCTGTCCACGTCCTCAGGGGTCACAGGATCAAACTCATCCCAGATAACATTCTCAAGACCTGCCCCAGTCCCTCCCCCTGAGACTATCCAGTCGGAGTCCAGATCTTCCCGAATCTGAGCGATTTTGTCATACAGATATTGAACAAAATCCTCGGCTCTACCCTCCAAGGGGTCCTCCCGCGCTTCCTGGTGGAGCAGGGAGCGGGTCACCCTAAACAGGGCGGCCGGGCGATTATCTGATGATGCAATAAGAGCAGCAAAATAGCTACATTTCGCTGCTTTTATCGCCACTAGGTAATTCCTAATATGAGCTCTTACCAGTGTCCGGTCAGATTCAGAAAGACTGGCCCTCCAACTACTCTCTAGGCGTCTTTTCCGGCGCTTCAACTCCCTCAGCTCCTCAGTGAACCAAGGAGCTAAATGAGATCGGCACCGGGTCAGAGGCCGCAAAGGCATGACCCGATCCAGAGCTCCAGCGGCCGCCCTATCCCAGGCGGCCACTAGGTCTCCAGTCGAGGCGTGTGCCAGATCCTCAGGGAATGGCCCAAGCTCCATCTGGAACCTATCCGGTTCCATCAGGCGCCTGGGGCGGAACCATCTTACCGGCTCCGCCTCCCTGCGGCGGGGTGTAGCGGTTCGAAGGTCGAGACGAAGGAGAGAGTGATCAGACCATGACAAGGGCTCGGTGACTATATCCCCTATCTCAAGATTACTGTAAAATCTCCATTCCCTCCCCACTCCAGGGGAAGGATACTGCAAAATCCCCATTTCCTCCCAATCAGCTGGGACTCGGGAGGCCGAGAATAGATGAGGGCAGGGCCAGTCAGAATGTTTACTACCGGTTCTCCGAACTACTCAAAATTTCCACTACCGGTTCTCCAGAACTGGTCAGAACCTGCTGAATATCACCTCTGACCCAGTTCCTGTAAACATTCTTCATATGTTTAGCCTCCAGCCCTCTAATCCAGTGGTGAAATCCAAATTTTTTTACTACCCGTTCTGTGGGTGTGGCTTTGTGGGTGTGGCAGGGGAAGGATACTGTAAAATCTCCATTCCCTCCACACTCCAGGAGAAGGTTATTGCAAAATCCCCATTTCTTCCCAATCAGCTGGGACTCAGGAGGCAGAGAATAGATGGGGACGGGGCCAGTCAGAGGTGGTATTTACCAGTTCTCTAAACTACTCAAAATTTCTGCTACCGGTTCTCCAGAACTGGTCAGAACCTGTTGAAGCCCACCTCTCCTTGTAAACCCATCCTTTTCTAACCTGCTGGTTAGGTTGATCGTACGGCTGATGGCAGCAGATTTAATACTGGGAATCCAGTAATCAAATGGATTAGCTAAGGACAGAAGACATTCTGCTTATCACTCATGATAGATACAGCACCACTCCAGTTGTTTTTGGCTGAGCCCAAAATACTAAGCAAGGTTAGGGATGCTTAGTATTCCCATAGGAGATCATCAGAAAATTTCAGCCTTACACGCTAGATTGGAAAGTTTAAAAAAATTGGAAAAGGGGAAATGACTTCCATACTGTTACCAAAGAAACCGTGTAGAGACATTGTAGAAAGTTAGCACCCACCCCTCTCCTAGAAGAATGAAATATTTTCAGGAATATTAAAAAAAGGCAGAATATTATATTTCCCTGGATGAGAAATGCTCTTGGAAAGCAGCCCCCACATTTCTTAATAGCCCACAGCAGATGTCAGCATTTAAGAGATAAAGAGATAGCTAGCTCTATTCATAAGCAAATTCCCTGCAACGAGGTCTGAACAAAGGTAGGGTTAGCCCTCAGCCACAATAGGAATTGCCCAACAAACTCCTTCATTGCATCAGACCAAACTTCAACCAGACAAACTCCTAGGATTTATATATGGCACTATGGGAATCTGACACCCAATAGAATACATGTCCTTGCACAGGAACAGGAAGCTCAAGTACAAAGCCCAAGAGAAAATATAAAAATTATTCTGGGAGTTGATGTCCACCCATCTTCAAGCTACAAAGGTTGAGAAACACTGATCTAAACAAAGACATTGCACCCAACAGAATGGAATAATTACGAGAAACAGGCAAACTTTAGTTGAAATCATGCTCTTTAAACCTTTAAATCTTGGATCACTAACATGCAGGCTGGGAATTTGTGAAGTGTATCCAACACACTTCGTGAAAACCTGCCAATAGTTCAAAGTTTTGAACTTTGTGAGCACGAGGCATGTTTTTGCAAATGTTCCTCAGCAAATCACATAGCAAGTGACTGAAAACTGAGCTGTGACTGAGAATTTAAGTTTTATAATCCGAAACTGAAATCTGTCTTCTTTATTGCACAGTCAACCCAAATGGGATTTTTTTTTTGTTTTGTTTTGCATTAGGAGCAACCAACACATTTAAAGATTGTAGACTAAAATGGAAGTTTGACCGAATCAAATTATATTCTTGATTGAAAAAAATACAGAATACCTATTTGGTTTTTAATATTGTATCGCCAGGTATTCGTTGCAACGAAAGCTGAAAAGGTTTAAAAATCAGCCGCAATGTGTTTTTAAAAGAAATCACAAACCAGGCCATGAATTGAATGAACTAAGGAGAAACTTCCTAACAGGGAGAGCAACCCACCAATGGTATAGTTTGCCTTCAGAAGTTGTGGATGCTCCATCACTGGAGGCTTTGAAGAAGAGACTGGAGAGTCATTTGCCTGGCAGGGCATAGGGATATGTGAACAAACAATATAGAGACTATATCGTGGTGCGACCAGAACGATCTGGAACTGAATACACTCAAAACCATAGAAATGGTGGTGGACTTTAGGAGAAACCCTTCCATACTACCACCTCTTACAATACTAGACAACACAGTATTAACAGTAGAGACCTTCAAATTTCTAGGTTCTAGCACATCTCAAGACTTAAAATGGACACCCAACATCAAAAACGTCATCAAAAAAGCACAACAAAGAATGTTCTTTCTGTGCCAACTCAGAAAGCTCAAACTGCCCAAGGAGCTGCTGATACAGTTCTACAGAGGAATTATTGACTCTGTCAGCTGCACCTCCATAACTTTCTAGTTTGGTTCTGCAACCCAACAAGACAGACACAGACTTCAGAGGATAATTAGAACTGCAGAAAAAACAATTACTACCAACCTGCCTTCCATTGAGGACCTGTATACTGCACGAGTCAAAAAGAGGGCTGTGAAAATATTTACAGACCCCTCACATCCTGGACATAAACTGTTTCAGCTCCTACCTTCAAAACGACGCTATAGAGCACTGCACACCAGAACAACTAGACACAAGAACAGTTTTTTCCCCAACGTCATCACTCTGCTAAACAAATAATTCCCTCAACACTGTCAAACTAGTTATTAAGTCTGCATTGCTATTAATCTTCACATCGTTCCTATCACCCATCTCCTCCCACTTATGATTGTAACCTTGTTGCTGGTATCCTTACGATTTATATTGACTGTTTCTTACTATGATTTGATTGCTTCCCTATGACTATCATTAAGTGATTCTTGACAAATGTATCTTTTCTTTTATGTACACTGAGAGCGTATGCACCAAGACAAATTCCATGTGTGTCCAATCACACTTGCCTAATAAAGAATTGTATTCTCTAGGAAGTATCTCTTCCCAAGATCTTCTCAAAATACTGTTACTGTTCTGTTCTGTTCTGCTCTGTTCTGCTCTGCTCTGCTCTACTCTGCATCTCATAAAAAGGGATTTAAAGGCCTGTGTTCTGACAGACGAGTCCATCTCAAAGTGCACTGATGATGTCTCCTCGAATGGTGACGAAATGTTTGCAACCAAACTGCCAAGCTTGGAGCTCAAAGCAACAGCCTAACTACTGGTACCAACCAGAGCGAGTAGTATTCAAACACATTTCATGGGTTTCCTGCCTGAGAGATGGGGTTGGACTAGAAGACCTCCAAGGCCCCTCCTGTTACTCTGTTAGTTGATCAATAAAAAAGGATGCCACCTTGGTGTGACACCCACCCCTCAATTTGTCCTAATCGGGTGAGTGCTGTGGTGGAGGGCTAGCAAAGCTTTACCCAATAGGTATCACTGCTTCCTTTGCTCTATGAATGGAAGGGAGGAAAAACAGATCATCAACCTGACAGCGGGACCGGGAGAAAATTCCCATCGGGCATTTTCCTAATTTAACGTCCTTTTTCCCCCCACTGCTCGTGACCTGGAAAAGGCAGGAAAACTCTTCCACCCAGGTGTCAGCGGCGGTGACGGGCTTCCAGGGCTGCTGGATAGGCTGAGAGGGGAGCGCAGGACCTTCGACCCAGCGTCGCCGCCGCCGCTGCAACGTCTTCCCCGTCCAGCCGCCCCTCGCCCGGCCCGCTCGCTCCTTCTCTCCGAAGCCTCCGCGGGACGCCGCTTGGAGGGCAGCGGGGCCTCCCCGAGAGGAGCCTGCCCCGGCGGGGCTCCTTCCCGGCCCCGAGGACCCTCCGGCACGTACCCCTCCGAAGCGGGCCAGCCAGCAGCAGCAGCAGAGCGGGGCCGATCCTCCCGCCGCCCGCGCAGACCATGGTCCGAGGCGGAGGCGCCGCAACCGAAGCCCGCGCGCCCCGACCCCAGCCGCTCCGGCGGGGGCTCCCCTTGGCGCAGGCGCGCCGCCACGCCCCCGACCCGCCCCCCGACGCCGTCCAATGGCCGCGCTGCCTCCAAGGGCCCGCCCCTCTCAGGCGGAGCTTGCGCGGGCGGTGCGCGTGCCAAGGGTGAAGGTCTAAGGAAGGAGCTGCAAGGGAAGGTAAGTGGAGGCTGGCGCAGCTCCCTTCTTTACCAGTGTGTATGTAGGCCTGCATTTATTACTATTACTATTACTATTACTATTACTATTACTATTACTATTACTATTACTATTACTATTACTATTATTTGGAGGTTTTTTAAGAAGAGACTAGACAGTCGCTTGTCTGAGATGGTATAGGTTCTCCTGCTTCAGCAAGGGGCTGGACTAAAAGACCTCCAAGGTCCCTTTCTGTTCTGTTCTGTTCCGTTCCATTTTTTTTTAATTTGATTTATATGCTGCTCTTCTTCGAAGACTCAGGACGGCTTACAATGTGTTAAGCAATAGCCTTCATACTTTTGTATATTTATACAAAGTCAGTTTATTGCCCCCACAATCTGGGTCCTGTCCATTCCTGTATTGTATTGCGTTGCGTTGCATTGCATTGCATATTATTATAAATTCTAATCTGTTCTATTATTCTATTCTATTCTTGCATTGCATTGCATTTTATATTATTATAAATTCTAATTTATTCTATTATTTTATTCTATTCTATTCTATTAATTTCCGCAGTGGCGCAGGCTCTTTCTACCTCTGCTGCCTGCCGGCTGCCTGCAATTTGGCAGTTTGAATCTCATCAGGTTCCTTCCTTCCTTCCTTCCTTCCTTCCTTCCTTCCTTCCTTCCTTCCTCCCTCCCTCCCTCCCTCCCTCCCTCCCTCCCTCCCTCCCTTCCTTCCTTCCTTCCTTCCTTCCTTCCCAGTAGTTAGAATGCAGTATTGCAGGCTAACTCTGCTGACTGTCAGCAGTTCAATTCTGACCAACTCAAGGTTGACTCATCCTTCCGTCCTTCCGAGGTGGATAAAATTGCCCCCAGATTGTTGGGGCAAGAGGCTGACTCTGTAAACCGCTTAGAGAGGGCTGTAAAGCACTGTATATAGGTCTAAGTGCTATTTCCAATCCCTTTTTTCTATTCTATTTTCTACATTCTATTCTACATTTAATTCTATTCTGTATTTCTGTTCTGTTTATTCTATTCTATTCTGGAAATGAAGCCTCTGGCTGAGCAGAAGGTGAGCGTGGGAGCCAGGCTTGCTGGGGTTGAGCCCCACACAGATGCTCTCTTGCCTGGGCAGGGCCTCAGTCCCCAATTCCTCCTTTATTTAGTAATAAACTCTGCAAAATTTTGGGTAGGTTTTCCTCTGCAATTTTACATCAGACTGAGGTTTTCAATAGATGTTGAAATAGGGAGGCTTTCCAGAGAATCTGATCCAAACTGACCTAATAAGAATAATTAATCAGTGACCAAATGCAGGAAGGCTCTCTTGAGGAACAGAGTTCAATCCCAGCATATGGAAGCTTTTCTCTGGCTTCAAAATAATATTTTTCAGAAAATGAAAAATAAGAAAAGATCATTATGTTATTAATATTATTGTATTACTGTTATCCGCCCCCTTTTATCAGTGTTCGTTTCTGCTAGAAGCAGCAATTAGGATGGTGGATCTGCAAATCCAGATGTGAGAAGGCAGTTGCTGAATAAGATGTACCATGAAGCAGCAGAAACCTGGATTTCATCCGTATTCCTTCTTTTCCGGATGACTTAGAGATTACTTTTAAGTTTCAAAAAGACAAGGAATGGATTTGTTCTGGTTATAAACTGTGTCCCACTGAGTTCTTTTGCAAGAACTAGATAGGGTTTCATTAGGGGCTAAGGGCAAAGCAGCAATAATCAATCCTGCTCCCCACCCCCCAAAAAACCCCAACCCTTGAATATAGCACATTTTCTGTCATTAGACTTCTGTCTCTTGATCAGGGGTTCCAGACAGGTTCCCCAGCCTGAAAAGATTTGAAAATCCTAGGACCTCCTACCATGTTTTCCCGAAAATAAGACCCTGTCTTATATTTTTTTGAACCCTGAAATAAGCGCTTGGCCTTATTGCCATGCGCTCAAAAGCCCGATTGGGCTTATTATCAGGGGATGTCTTATTTTGGGGAAACCAGGGTACCTCACAGGCTCCAGCTAAGAATTTGACCCCGCCTGGTCAGGAAGACATCCAAGTCTTTAAGTAGGGTCTCCTGTTTGGGCGGGGGGTTGGACTAGATGACCTACAAGGTCCCTTCCAATTCTGTTAATCTATTAGAGCTCCCGAAGAATCATCAGGGTCATGGCAAATTTAATCTTGGGGGGGAGGATTGGTGTTCCAAAGAGCAAATGCTGGCACAGAAGCACACTTTCTGGATCCAAAACCACACGCTCTTTCACCCATGGGACCCTCAGCGTGCCTCTCATGATTAATCCCCAGAGCGTCGTTTCATTTTGTACCTTTGGCATTCTGATTGCTTTTGTTTCATTTTTAATGTAGGCTAGCTTGACTTTTTTTTCCCAATTTGTCCACTATATAATCTAACAAAGAAATACAGGTGGTCCTCGACTTGCAACCAAAATTGAGCCCAAAACTTCTGTTGTTAAGGGAGATATTTGTTCATTTTATGACCTTTCTTTTCACAGTTGTTAAGTGAATCACCGCAGTTGATAAATTAGTAACCCAGTTGTTAAGCGAATCTGGCTTTCCCCTTTGACTTTGTTTGTCAGAAGGTCGCAAAAGGGAATCACGTGACCCTGGGATACTGCGACCGTCATGAATATGAACCAGTGGCCAAGCCTCTGAATTTTGATCATGTGATCATGGGGAAGCTGCAAAGGTCGTAACTTTGAAAAACGGGCATAAGTCACAATTTTCAGTGTCACTTTGAACAGCAACCAAGCAGAATGTTGAAAGCCGAGGACTACCTGTATATGACCTGGGCAGGGGTGAAATCCCTGGGCAGGTTCGGGCAGGTTCTGGAGAACCGGTAGCGGAAATTTTGAGCAGTTCGCAGAACCAGCAAATACCACCTCTGGCTGACCCCAGGAGTGGGGAGGAAATGGGGATTTTGCAGTATCCTTTCCCCTGGAGTGGGGTGGGAATGGGGATTTTGCAGTGTCCTTCCCCCAGAAGTGCAGTGGGAATGGAGATTTTGCAATATCCTTCCCTCAGGAGTGGGGAGGGAATGGAGATTTTGCAGTATCCTTCCCCCAGGAATGGGGAGGGAATGGAGATTTTGCAGTGTCCTTCCCTCAGGAGTGGGGAGGGAATGGGGATTTTGCAGGGGATCCTTCCCCTGCCACGCCCACCAAGCCATGCCTGCCAAGCCACACCCACAGAACCGGTAGTAAAAAAAATTGGATTTCACCACTGGACCTGGGTGTAGAATTTTTAAGCAAAAAATAAAAATAAAAATGAAGCTGCATGGGGAAAATGCCCAAACCTTATATATTAATTCATTTTTTTCCCCCAGACTGGAATCAGGGATCCAGATAGCTGCATGGAGAAAGTGTTGCCCTTCGAGGAAAGCTACACGACAGCTGCTGCCTGCAGAGTTGGCTTGCTTTGAAGAGCTGATAACGGCAGCATGGCTTCCTCAAAGCTTATAGGCAAGTTCTGGGAATGGGGCAAGAACATCTTCTGTGTGGGGAGGAATTACGCAGCCCATGCCAAGGAGTTGAAGAATGCTCTCCCCACGGAGCCGCTCTTCTTCCTCAAGCCCTCCTCGGCCTACGTCAGGGAAGGCCATCCCATCATCCAGCCCTACTATTGCCATAAGCTGCACCACGAGGTGGAACTGGGCGTGGTGATTGGGAAGAGAGCCCAGGCCGTCCCTCAGGAAGCCGCCATGGGTCACGTGGCAGGCTATGCTCTCTGCCTGGACATGACAGCCAGGGATATTCAGGAGGAGTGCAAGAAGAAAGGGCTTCCTTGGACTCTGGCCAAAGGATTCAATACCTCCTGTCCAGTCAGCGACTTTGTGCCCAAGGAGAAAATCCCAGATCCACATCAGTTGAAGATCTGGCTAAAGGTGAATGGAGAGTTGCGGCAAGAAGGCAAGACATCCAGCATGATTTTCACCATTCCGTACATCATCAGCTACATCAGCGGAATTGTCACCTTGGAAGAAGGAGATATCATCTTAACAGGATCCCCCGAAGGAGTTTCTGCTGTGCAAGAGAAGGATGAAATAGAAGCCGGGATTGAGGGGCTGCTGAGCGTACGCTTTCAGGTAGCGCGGCAGAAAAGCCGGCCCTGATGTCTGGAAGTTCCTTTTCTCTGGAAGCATCTAAGGAGATTCTCAGTCCTTCAGGTCACGGCTTGTCCCAAAGGTGCTTTTTCAAAAGGCAACTGGACTTCCTTGGTTTTTCCTTGAAGGTGTTTCACTTCGAAGATGAAAAAGCACCTTTGGAGACTTTTCTCAGGACTTTTCTCATTGCTCACACAAAAGGCCAGATTTCTTCCCTATCCCCCACCTCCAAGATGGAAAATAGTAGGCTTTCAGAAGAGCCTTCAATGATATGTCCTTCTCTCTCACAGAGTGCAAGATCCCAACCTATTGTTTACCAGATTGTTGTTATTGTTAGTTGCAAAGTCATGTTCGGCCCATCGTGACCCCATGGACAACGTTCCTCCAGGCCTTCCTGTCCTCTACCATCCTCTGGAGTCCATTTAAGCTCATGCCGACTGCTTCAGTGACTCCATCCAGCCACCTCGTTCTCTGCCGTCCCCTTCTTCTTTCGTCCTCAATCTTTCCCAGCATTAGGCTCTTCTCCAGGGAGTCCTTCCTTCTCATTAGGTGGCCAAAGGATTTGAGTGTCATCTTTAGGATCTGGCCTTCTAAAGGGCAGTCAGGGTTGATCTCCTCTAGGACTGACCGGTTTGATTGCCTTGTTTATCAAATACAGTGACTTTATTTCCATATAAAATAAACCAGAATATAGCAATATGGCGAGAAACATAAACCAGTTGCCTAGTTCAAGCAGATAAACAGACCTTAATACTGGAGTTCTTTTGCTATGATTTGCAGATAAGATATCCTGGCTGTATCCCTTTGGCAAGCTCAAGTTCAGAAGCTATATTGGTTGTCTATTTCCTATTTCTGGCTTGTCAGGAAAAGGCCAGTAACTATAAATACAAAGCCTAAATATTTTTAAGACTGCAAAACACTTTGTATCCTATAGTTATAATCTACCTTTCTTAAAACTATAACCAAATAATGAAGGAATTTTGCAGCAAATTATATTGTTTAAAAATTGTATTTTATATGATGAGATTTTAAAAGCACTTTGAAATGAAATCAAAACTTCTTTTTGTTTCTCTGAATAAATGCCAGTCAGTTTATAATATTACTTGCCGGTTATCTATGAAACAAAATATAGTTAGCATTTTTGCAACAGAGGTTATACAGTAGATAAATTTTCCCTGTTGAACACTTAAAGGGGGGGGGAATGGGGAAGTGCTGAGATAGGACACTCCTTCATGACACTTAATAAATCCATGGCTTGTGCAACACATGAAGATGGTGCTTCTGTCCCAGCTGAAACTCTAAACTACTGAACCATCTCTCACTACAAAAAGTCCTGAATATTCTTCCTTTTTGAGGTCATCTGAAATTAAACATGCTTCTGAAGAATATTGAAAACTTATATTTCTTCCACATTATAATGGAAAACTAAATTGGAAAGTGAAACAAACTCTCAAAAGCCAGATAAACTCTTGCCACCGTAATAAAGTATATTTTACAAGTCTTTGCATGGAGTCTCCTCTACAGATGTCATTTTGCCGTGCTATGATTAAATAAGAATTCCTTCCAATTGTTCTAAAGATGCATAATGCAGTTATTTTCCTTTTTCAGGCAAGTTTTGGCAAGCCTCCACTGGATCTGCTAGCTTGCAAGAAAGCAGTTTCACTCTTAGCCCAGTTCGTGCTGTGGTAGAAAAAATAACCTATGGAAGTAAATGTACAGATCACCATTTTTACAAACAATTTTTAAAGATTTTCTCTTTTTACAAGTTCTAGGTTGACAGGCTGAACATTTTACGTTACGTAGACTGTTTCATAAATAGTATTTATTAGAAAAGCATGGAAGCACCCTATGTTCCATTTGTATCTCCTAAGATTTTATACCGCTAGAGAATCTTGACAAAATATTTGAGCAGTGACACATATGAATTTAGTAATTTGTAAACATTCTGTACTGTGTTGTTTAGAAAAATCTTTGTTTTTTTTTTAAGTTTCTGGATACTGTGTTTCAAAATATTGTAGACATGACTTTCTTGCAGATCAAACTTTTTCATTCAGTGGGAGAAACTGATCATAGATTTTGAGACGTTAGTAGACCGGTCAAGTTGTGAGAAATAGTAGTATCTTTAGGAATATATTATTGTGTAATTATATTCATAATAATGTGGAATCACAGCTGATGTTGGCTCTCCTATGCATCAAATCTCTTCCCAAGAATTTAGGATGTCATACAGAGAGTCTTCCACTTACAAATATTTGTTTAGTGACTGTTCAAAGTTACAACACCACTGAAAAAAATGAGTTATGACCATTTTTCACATGACCGTTGCAGTATCCCCATGGTCATGTGATCAAAATTTGGATGCTTGGCAACTGGTTCACATTTAGGATGGTTACAGTCCCAGGGTCATGTGATCTTTTTTTACGACCTTCTGACAAGCAAAGTCAATGAGGAAGCCAGATAACCATGTTATTAACTTAATAATTGTAGCAATTCACTTAACAATTATGGCAAGAAAGGTTGTAAAACCGGGCAAAACTAAGTTAACAGTCTTGCTTAGCAATGGAAATTTTGGGCTCAGTTGTGGTCATAAGTCGAGGACTACCTGTGCTGGAACATGATAATTTTTACAGATGTTTCAGTGAATCATTTTGGTGACTGATGTTTTTTTTTTATAATGTTGTGCAATCTTCTTGCACAAACTGAGTATATGATCTACTGTTTTCTCTGCTTTGCACAATCTGCATTTTGATGATTTTATGATGATGATGATTACTCTATTATTAGATAAATACAAACTCAAAGCAGCAAACATATTTAATATTCCTGCCTCATTTTTTCCCCATAATAACCTGCATGAAGTGGGATTGGGCTGAGAGAGAGTGAATGGCCTACCCAGCTGGCTTTCATAGCTAAAGAAAGCCTAGAATTCAGTCTTCTAGTTTCTAGATCAACTTCTTAATCACTACACCTAACTGGCTCTTCCATATTTTATCATGCTTTATTATTATTTATTATACCTACCTTAAAGTAAATTTTGCTTCTTTCTAGAAGGAATTGCCATTTTAATGTTGTCTTTTGTGTCTCTGTCAGAGCTTGAAATTCTTGGACCTAGTGGAGTGATCACAGATCAGTTTGTTAAAACTACACGTAGGTCTGCTATCAAACATAATTCAACAATAAAATGTTCATCTCCAGAATGTGGTATAATGATCAGAAAGCTAAATTTTCTGCAGGGCAAATAACGCAGTAAATGCAATGTTCATAATTTGTCTGGAAAGAAAATACATTAAATTGAATCAAAATTATTAAACATCTATCTGTAATTATCACTTCAATATAAACGCTACCTCAGGAATAAATTATTTATATCCAATTCATTGCTATAAAATGGTCATAATATATGTGAAGCAAAACTCTTTGTATCCTGCCTTTATTATTTTTAGAAATTGGGAACATATCCAACACACCTTTGTCTATTTCCCCAACAACAACCCTGTGAGGTAGGTTGGGCTGAGACAGAGTGACTAGCCCAAAGTTACCCAGCTGGTTTTCATGGCTAAGGCCAGACTGGAATTCCCGAGCTTTCTAATCTGGTGCCTTAACCACTAGGCTAAACTGACTCTAATGAAATCTTTTGATATCTAACTTGTGATAACTAATAGTAGTGCCTTTTGATTTCGTAAGAGTTTAGTAAATTTAAGCTGGAATAGCTTTTAATTGAATGGTGCCCAATTCATTAAATGCTGCAGATTTACAAGCCTTTTGGTATCCACAAATTCCCATCATCTGAATTGGCCTCAAACATTGATGAGAGATTCCAGGATTTTTACTGGCATAACAAACCTAAAAGAATAAATTCAGGAAGTAGAAAACTGTTTCCTATGTTCTTACCGTGTGACCTAAAGTTTCTTCGGCTATTGTATCTGAGAGACTGCAAAAGTGAAGAGTTCCTGTATGGTCAGTTAGGTCAACTAGTAAATCAAAGCTGGCAAACATTGGCACAGTGTCAGCATCTAAGGAGTTAGTGCTGCTACAAAAAGAACATGTATTTGTCTTTTCATTGATAACATAGTGGCATTTAACACTACAAGGAAAAAAAAAAGGAAACATATTAATAGGTATAGTTAACTGATTTTCAAATGGATTTTTCTGTTATAGCTTTTCCCCCCCTTCAAATTAAGGGGACTGATGATTGGAAAGCGGTTTGACAATTGAATCCATAATCAAAGGAGATAGTAGACTTCGCTGAATAGATTAAAGCAGAAGCGGGGGAACCATCTGGCAGGCATGTTTTAATTAGGCTTACTGCACTGAGCAGGGGGTTAGATTGCAGGGCCTAAAGAGTTTGTTTCAGGGTACAAATTCAATGGTTTTCCAGGCTAATTTGAAACTGAGAAGAGAATAAATGTCCACAATGCTACCCAGTTTCCCTTAATGAGGTGCTTACCACCTGTTTCGTATTACTTTACTTGCTTCATTATCAATATTCAATGTAGAAATGTAGGCAAAAATAATGCCATAAAATGGTTCTGGTTTTCCTTCATTTTGCAAAGTTTTCATCTTTAATTGTTCCACTGTATAAACATCAACTATTGTCTGCACTATAGATAAAAAATGAAAAAAAAGCACATCTGAAAACAACAGAACTTAGACTAAAGTCTAAGACTCAAATATGAATAGTTCATTCTGCAAAGCCAGGTGGCTTTAAGGACAGCGTGATGTTATTTATTTATTTATTTGTTAGATTTTTATCCTGCCTTTATTACCTTATAAATAACTCAAGGCAGGGAACATACATAATACACCTTCCTCCTCTTATCTTCCCCACAACAACCACCCTGTGAGGTGGGCTGGGCTGGGCTGAGAGAGAGAGACTGGTCCCAAATCACCTGGCTTTCATGTAGAACTCAAGTCTCCTGATTTCTAACTCACCACTTTAACCACTACACCAAACTGGTTCTCTAAATGACCCCCAAATTCCTAAAATAAGCAAATAATGTACTAACCATGATTTATAAACCACAGTGGCTAGATTCATATATCATACAAGTAGTCCTCAACTTATGACCACAATTGAGCCCAAAATTTCTGTTGCTGACACATTTAAGTGAGTTTTTTCCCATTTACGTTGTTTCTTGCCTCAGTTGTTAAATGAATCCCTGCAGTTGACAAAGTTAGTAACTCGATTGTTAAGTGAATCTGGTTTCCCCATTGATTTGCTTGTCAGAAAGTCACAAAAGGGGATCACATGACCTTGAGACACAGCCACGGTCATAAGTATGAACCAGTTGCCAAGCATCTGAATTTTGATCACATGATCATGGGGATAGCTGCAAAGGATGTAACTGAAATACGGGTCATAAGTTGCTTTTTTTAGTGCCTTTGTAACTTTGGTCATTAAATGAACTGTGCTAAGTCGAAGATTACCTGTACTAAGCCATTATGGGTTAGCATGTTGTGTGATTTAGGAAACTTCCACATATTTCAGTGGATATTACAATTGTTTTCTCATTTGTGAATATAACCAGAATTGTTATTTTTATATGAATCTGGTTTCCCAGATTGGCCTAACCTTGTATTCATTAGCCAATACTATAGGGCTGAATATATCTCTGTATTATTCTTCATTTTAAAACTATTATTTCTCCAATTTGTGTGCCTTATCCTCGCAAAACATGATTTATTTATTTTTTTCATAAATAGATAAAATAGTTGTTTAAGCAAAGTTCCAGTCAGTTATAAGGCATGGCTACTCTTTAAAAGACAGAATTGACAACTAAGATCTCAATCATCATGTTAAAAACAGACTATCGGTATTTAAAAGAACACTCACAATTTATGGAGTCTGATCTCCACTGATCTATCATTTCATCATCCAAGTCTAACATTTCTGGACTTTGTCTTATAAATTTGAATAAAATATTGGCTTCCGCTGTATCTTGAAAAAAATATTTTTCAATATAATATTAATACAAGTAAATAAGTGCAATGCCACAATATATCATAAGAATTTTAGATGAAAGTTTTATAAATGAGGCTATACATGATTGGGGAACAGAGTCATTATAACTTCAAACTTATAAAATGGCCATATAAGGAAAAAATAAGGCTGAGCAGGAGATTTCTATTAAATTTGCTTTCTTTAAAAAAAAAAAAGTTGGAGGTCAAATCCTTGAATAGTAGATGCATAGCTACAATTTTTTATGATACGTTATTTATACTTATAGAGAGTTTTATTTCAGATCCAAACCATTGACTTTAAATTCCCAACCTTCTGTTCATTAAAAGGACTAGAATAAGGCATTTATGATACTTTAAACAGAACTTAAGAACAATTACTTACCAGGGTTAATAGTAATGATGGTCTTTGAGATTACAGTTGCAATCATACGGTTTCTAAATTTGTCAAAGTTTATTCTTATATCAGATGCAAATATTACTAAGAATAGAAAATACAGTGTGTTTTGTTATCCCAGGCAAACTTTAGATACTTTAGATAAAATCTGGTAATGTTTGTGAAAAATGAAAAAAAAATGATACCTGTTTCTTGGGGTACCCAGCTCTGTGCAAACTGGATAGATTCATTGTCCCAGCTGGAGAAAATAATAGCATTAGGTTAATATAAATAAATGCTTATTTATTTAAAATTTTTATGAGTGTATATTATTAGAGAAGTATTCAAATATCAAAAGCATGTAAGCATATACATATTTAAAACTAGTAAAAAAAAGAAAAGAAAAACAAACTAAATACTTGATAAGATGTTTCTCTCCTACCACTCTTTCTAAAAATTGCACTATTAGGAGCTATCCTATTAAATGAATTCCAGAGCAAATGGAAAGATCCTTTCTTTTATCTTCCCACATGCATCTGGTATGGGAAGATGCCCTTATTACTCAATAGGTAGAAGTTTTCATATGGGAAGACACAGCCAGACAGGTTAGATTTAAGAGGTTCAAAATATTAGGGCTGTACAGCACTTTGGATATGCTTTTAAAAAGATGTTTCTGAACATATGGAAGACATGAATACAGTACATATCTGGATCTGTTTAAAACACTGATAGGCAGGTGATACGTTTATGTCTCCATATGTTCTGAAGCCCCTTTTTGGAATTGAATCTGAAGTTCTCCACAGACCTCAAAAAACCCAGAAAGTGTAAGGCTAGTGAACTGTCAGCTAAATGCATTTGAAGACTGAAGTAATTGGTCATGCTAATAGCAAATAGCATAGAATGCACATGTTCTTTGTCTCTCCAGGCTGCATCTTTTGCTCACATTTTCCTAAAATGTTAATCTCAATTATCTACCTTGTTGTAAGCCCTGGTACCGTAGATAGAACAAACCAGGAAATAGGAGGAGAAATAAGAATAGAGTCATAAGGCTGGAAGGAAACTTGGAGGTCTACTAGTTCAACCCTCTGAGCAAAGCAGGAATCCTTATTCCATCCTGTACAAATGGTTGTCCTGTCCTTTCTTAAAAATCTCCAACAATGGAGCACCCACAACTCCAGGAGTCAAGCTGTTCCACTGACTAATTGCAGACTAGAGCTACTTTTATTGAGATGGCCTGTAAGAGAATCTTGCAAGTCTGTGCTGGGTCTCCCACACTTCTTCTTATTCTCCAGTGAATCAGGGAGGCATCAACCTTTATTTCACTCCTCTGCTCACAACAGAATCCCTTATGCTGCCAGGCTTGAAATTTTGGGTTTAGACAACTTAGAACTACGCCGCCTTCGGTCTGACCTAAGCGGAGTACACAAAATTATCTGCCACAGCGTCCTACCTGTCAATGACTTCTTCAGCTTCAACTGCAATAATACACGGGCAAACAATAGATACAAACTCAAGGTAAACTGCTCCAAACTCAATTGCAGAAAATATGACTTCAGCAACAGAGTGGTCAATGCCTGGAATGCACTACCTGACTCTGTGGTTACTTTCCCAAACCCCCATAAAAAAACAAAACAAAACAAAACAAAACAAAACAAAACAAAACAAAACAAAATAAAATAAACCTGAGCTATTTTTGAATGTTATCTCTTTTTTCCAGGACTACAACACCCTTTGTCTTGCTAAAATTTCTTGCATATTTCCATTGAGGTAAGTTTCCTTACTTTTTATACATATATGTGAACAATAGAATTAAAACCCTTTTTTTCACATTTAAAAGCCTACAGATGCAGGAACTTCTCTTTAGAGAGTTCTGGATGCAGAACTTTTCCTGATGGGTTAACACAAATGAAAGGTGATTCTATATTCAAAGCTCTTAAGAAACCTATGCCTTAATGAATCCTCTATTTCACAAAGGTGACACAACTAACAGGGTTTGGTTAGTGATTATAGTATGCATTTATACCCATTGTTGCTTCAGATTTTTGTATTCCTTCATATATAGCTGAATTATGGCTTCAACCAGTGCTTACCATATCATTGTAAAGGAAGACTCGCTGTCATCGTACAGCCTTACTTCACACCTGTGGCCTTTACGCCTGTCTGAAGTAGCAAAATATTTTGGTTCACCAACCTTTGTAAAGGGAAAAAAAAGAAAAAGATCTTGATCATAAGATCTATATCTGTTTTGTTAAATAAAACTGTTCATGTTACCACTATTCAAACTTAAACCCATTTCAGCAGAAATTAAGTTATAGAAGCACTGATTATAATTGCAGTGTGTAGGTGGATAAATGTAGAGTTTATTCTTCTCAGAAAGTCACAACCTTCTGAGAACAACTTAACAAATTGTGGGATATTATCAAATTGTGGAATATTGCTATAGGAAGTGAAGTGTTCTCATTTCACTTTGTCACTTATAAAACAATAAGAATTCCTATAGAATTTGTTAGCAATTCTTATTACTAAATAGTAATTCTTATTACAAAGAAGTATTAATGGTTAACTCGCTGGTTTGATACTATCATAGATGAACATCCAACAACTGATGGAAGACTTCCGGGCCTACAGGAAGTTCGGGAAGGCTGGAAATGGGCCCGTTTTCAGCCTCCAGAGCCTGGGGAGGCCATTTCACCCTCCCGGAGGCTCGAGGAAAGCCTCCGGAGCCTGGGGAGGGCAAAAATCCCCCCCCCTGCCATGGTGCAGGAGGCCAACTAGGCCACGCCCACCGTGGTGACGCCCACCCAGCAACCGGGCAGAGAACCTCTTGCTAAAATTTTTGAAGCCCACCCCTGAGCTTATGTATTTTTCAGTATGGTTTGTGCAGAAGAGTTTACATGGATTATGCAGGAACAGGAGGATAAAGGTACAAGGGTGAGATTCAACTTAATTTGAATACTGCATTTAGCATTAATACTTAACCTCATGATTACTAATTAACCTATGCAGAAATTTTAAATAAACCTTTAGTACCTTACTGAGGCTGCATCTTAAATCCATGACAGTTTTATAGAATATTGTTTATAAAATATTTGACTGATGTTATTCATTAACCTTTCTTAGTGCTAAATTAAGCCAAGGGGCTGCTGAGTAACACATTAGGTCCTCCTCCCAGCTCTTCTATGACCCAATAAATTCTTATCTATACAGAAATCCATTACATTTTTCAGGCTATAATGTGAGCTCTCTTTGATTTGTTACAGTTGGCATGATTTACCGATTTAACAGCAGCAAGAACATTGATTATTTTCCCATCCAGGCTTTGTCCATTGGCCACAATATCCCCCAATGAGTAAAAATCTTGAGGGTTCTTTACAGGTAGATGTAACAGAGACAGCAGTCCGGTGTCTGCTTCGTAGATTCTGACCACAGAATGATTCTCACTAAGCAATAGTTTGTAACTGCTGACAAGTGGGCACATAATATTTTACAACTTTTAAATACATATGCATTGTTCTGGTTGCATCAAACTTTTTATATCTGAATACTGTATGAGTGACAGATTAAACCATTACAAATAGCAATTGTCAATTACTTTTTCTGATCTCTAAATTTATTTTGACATATTCAAAACTTTTTAAAAAAATATTGGGAGCAGATTGTCCTTTACACTGTAGTTAAGCTATGTAACAAAGGTAAGCCTATCATATATGATGAACAAAAATCTCATCAGAATTTTTACAGCCCATATATGTTATGAAATGCATCTTTTAGAAGTACCCATTGTAGTTACCAACTGATGATTCTTTAGGCTGCAGTTCTGTACCCTAGATACAAACCCAATGAAATGAACTACTGCAGGGACCCTGGCCACCGTCTCCCAAAACTTAACTCAAGATTTAAATCCCAACATTTCTTTAAGCCTTTGTGGACCTCCTGTGATGACACCGTGCCCCCTTCCAGGGTCCGAAGGCCACAGGTTGAGAGCCACTGAACTACTGTATTCAACTTCCTGATTTGCCTACCAGGCCATTCACTGTGAAGAAGGTAACATAAGCTAGAATAGAATAGGATAGGATAGGATAGGATAGGATAGGATAGGATAGGATAGGATAGGATAGGATAGAATAGAATAGAATAGAATAGAATAGAATAGAATAGAATAGAATAGAATAGAACAGAATAGAATTCTTTATTAGCCAAGTGTGATTGGACACACAAGGAATTTGTCTTGGTGCGTACGCTCTCAGTGTACATAAAAGAAAAGATACATTCATCAAGAATCATAAGGTACAACACTTAATGATAGTCATAGGGTACAAATAAGCAATCAGGAAACAATATCAATATAAATCGTAAGGATACAAGCAACGAAGTTACAGTCATACAGCCATAAGTGGAAGGAGATGGGTGGTGGGAACGATGAAAAAATTAATAGCTACTGATTGCCTTAGAACAAAGCAAAACAAAACAAAACAATTCTTCCAATCCTATTGTAGATGATAATTAGGATATTTTTTTTAAACATTTATTAACATCAAGGTAATTTACTGAGGTACTGCATAAATATGGCCATGAATTCACAACATGTAAAGGACATAAAACAAAGAATAACAGTTGGAAGGGAGGAGCGAGGTCTTCTAGTCCAACACTCAAGTAGGAGACGCTACATCATTTTGGACAAATGATTGCCCTATCTCATCTTGAAAACCTCCAGTGATGGAGCACCCACAACTTCTGAAGTCAAGCCGTTCCAGTGATTAATTGTTCTCAGTGTCAGAAAAATTCTCCTTAATTCTAGGTTGGATGTCTCTTTAATGGTCCTCCACCCATTATTGTGTGTCCTGCCCTCAAGTGCTTTGGAGAATAGGTTGGCCTGCTTCTGCTTTGGCTATATTTTATGTCTATTTTCTGGATATGGAAAATTACTATTACTTTACTATTTTTGGATAGAGATAAAAGATGAATATAGGTAAGTGCACTATTCAAGATTTTGTCTTATGAATGGCAAGTTTTGCTCGCAGTGCTTTGCAGGAAAAATGCTTCTACAACATTTTGTTACCACAATAAAGAAAAAAAAATCTCTGTACATTGATTTGGATATTAATTACATTAATCCAATAAACCAGAAGCCAAAATAATTATACTGTACAGTGTGCCTGTTATGATATGTGCAATATTGGAGAATCCAAGACCTCAGTGCCTTCCGCCGTGCCCTTAAACCCCACTTTTTCCAACAAGCCGGGCTGGCTTAGGAAGAAATTTTTAAAATTTTTTAAAGGTTTAATTGGTTTGTGGTTTTTTAAATTTTGGGCCAAATTTATATAGATTTTAATTGTTTTTAATATTTGTATTTCATGTTTTTAATTTTGGCTGTGCACCGCCCTGAGTCCTCAGGGAGAAGGGCGGTATATAAATTGAAAAATAAAATAAAAAATAAAAATAAATAAATAAATATTCATCTAGAATATTTTCCCTAGCTTGTATACAGGTAATCTTCGAGTAATGACCACAATTGAGCCCAAAATTTATGTTGCTAGGTGAAATATTTGTTAAGTGGGTTTTGCCCCATTTTGCGACTTTTCTTGCCACATTTATTAAGTAAAGCATTGCATTTGTTAAGTTAGTCACACGGTTGTTAAGCGAATTTTGCTTCCCCATTGGCTTTGCTTGTCAGAAAGTTGCAGAAGCTGATCAAATGCCCCCGGGAGACTGCAACTGTCATAAAGATGAACCAGTTGCCAATCTTCTGAATTTTGATCATGGGACCATAGGAAATGCTGCAACGGACATAACTGTGAAAAACGGTCATAAGTCACTTTTTTCCAGGGCCGTTGTAACTTTGAATGGTCACTAAATGAACTGTTGTAAGTCGAGGACTACCTGTATAATTCTTGATAAACGTATCTTTTATTTTATGTACACTGAGAGCATATGCACCAAGACAAATTCCTTGTGTGTCCAATCACACTTGGTCAATAAAAAATTCTATTCTATTCTATTCTATTCTATTCTATTCTATTCTATTCTATTCTATTCTATTCTAACTGTGCAGTCATAATCCTCTGCATCTTCTGATCACAATAATCTATCTATTCCAACCACATGAATTCTATTTTTTTCATTTACCTTGTTGTAGTAGGGTTGAACTTTTCTTCTTTTTCTACCTCTTTTGTCTGTACTAGAGGATTTTCAATTATGACTGTGATTTAAAAAATTCAAACGACAGTTTACAAGTGGGCCGATATACCTACAAACCAGTCCTAGGATTTGTCATATAAGCAGAATCTACAGAGTGAATTATTTGAATTATTTTCAATCCAAACAAAATGGTTAGTAAAAGAAAATAAAAGAAGTAAGCTGTACAACACTTCATAACATCTGGCATACGTATCTCCTGCCTGCAACACCCCAACGTCTTACATCAAACATATCTTTTTCCAAGATTACACTGCACATGCAAAAGGCAGCTGGCTTATCCTGGAAAGATGCTGTACCTTTAATGATATGCAGATACATGCTGCATAGTATCTTTTTACTTTGGAATACAAAATAATGTACAAGGTAAAAAGCAGCATGATTAAAGTATAGGCTTTTTAATTGTATATGCTTTTTAGAAATACTTAAAATTTAATTTACTTTACTAATTTCTGTCCACCAGTAACCTTGCACAGATTGTACCATTTAAATCAGGAATGGGTGATCTGTGACTTTTATCTACTCTTCACCCAATATGGAGCCTCTGCAATATGGGGCAGCCCTACCCAGGCTTTTCTTAGGCTCATATCAGCTATCAACAGTATTGAAAAAAATATTTTTATTATCAGTATTAGGGCAGTAATATTAATAAAGGTTATTTCTGGCTGATCCTTGAACAACTAAAATGATTCAGGTTGGGGTAATAATTCTTAATTTCCCCTTCTAGTAATTCCAACGCAAATAAAATTTGGTAAGGAGAGAGATCTTCGAACAATCCCATCCTCAAATATCTGCCTACTCTTGAGAAACTGGCTGTTTTTTTCTGGATTAAGTTTATCTCTCCTGGTTTAATTGTTCAAGTGAAAGAGAGAGAAAAATAATAAAGATGCTGTGGAACCAGGCTTAACTCCTGGTGGTTACATCCATGCAGTTTTCTTAGCCACAACAAGGATGTGATTTGCCATTTGTGCCATTGGTGCCATTTGTCATTTTCTTTTAAAAAAAATTTATTTCAGTCTAGCCTATAGCTCTGGGATTCTGTTGTAGAATTCAAGTATTAACTAGATCTAGCCTGGCTTAGGTTTTTGTGACCAGTGAAGGTAAACTAGGTGTGGAATAGCTTTTATTTGACCGTATAGAAAATTAGGAAGAGCTGGCAGTGATCTTAATATATACATAAAATAATTACCAGAAATAATAAAAAATAGTAATATTAAATTATATTTTAAGTCTCCAGGCTCGCATGATAAAATTTTATTGAGAAGCACTGGGGATGTTTTAAAGATTCATTTATTCTAGTGAAAATAATTAAATGAAAGAAAGGCTGTGCAACATATAATAAATACCATGTATGTATTTTATTCAAAAATAATTCCCATTGTGTCAATGGGAATTAACTAGACTATTCCCACATTCACTGTAGGGGATGACTCCAATTACTTTTATACTTATGAAACATTTTAGAAGAGTAAAAACATAGTACAACGATCTAAGAAGGAATATGGGAAATTACGTTCTAATTTTTTATGTCTTCATGACATCTTCACTAACAAGAATATGTGAATATAACTTCTTTCAATTAGTCTAACTGAAAAAAAATTGGTTCCAGTTAAATAGGTCTGTAATTCCTTGAAGAAAAACACCCTAAGATCACAGCCACATTATACTGATTTAAGAAAGAGAAAAACATATTGAAATATGTTCAGAATAAATTCCAGCTTACCACAATCACCAAGTCTAAAGGTTTCTGAAAGTGATTTAATATAGTCCTCTCTTCCCCAGGAATTCACATTTATGAACCATGATGGGGAATCACGAATGGTAAAACAAAAAGTATATCGTTCTGATCCAATATCTGCAGAGAGGGGTATATTTAGGAACGCTATTTAAAATTTGAATTTGGTGTGAGATACATAATATAATATATAGATGATATTTTGTCTGCTATTACAAAACTTAAACCATGCTATGAATAATGGTTTTGAATCAAACTGAGGTCTGGGGCCTGACATCTGTAGCAGACACTGGTTGTTTGTGTGAACTGTCAGCACTTCAGTTTCAGAGGCCCATTCCGTTATATATAAATACATAGTATATCAGGAAACAGGGAAATTAAGATACAAGCAGCAGCAGCAAAGAAGAAATGCTACATAGGTAGTCCTCAACATACGACCACAATTGAGCCCAACATTTATGTTGCCAAATGAGAAATTTGTTCAGTGAGCTTTGTTCTATTTTACGACTTTTCTTGCCACATTGGTTAAGTGAATCACTGCCACTGTTACATTAGTAACACACATGTCAAGGGAATCTGGTTTTCCTATTGAATTTGCTTGTCAGAAGGTTGCAAAAGAGAATCACATGACCCTGGGACACTGCAACCATCATAAATATGAGTCAATCGCCAAGCGTTTGAATGTAAACCACATGACCATGGGAATGCTGCAATGGTATATAAGTGTGAAACATGGTCATAAGTCACTTTTTTCAGTACCGTTGTTAACTTTGAACAGTCACTAAGCAAACTGTTATAAATTGAGGACTACCTGTACTATAAATGTTGATGGATGAGGAATTACAATGCAAATATTGCAGAGCAATCTCATTCATACCACTAGAGGTCACCATAATTTTTAAACTTTCTCTGGAATGAGAAGAAAAAGTTTAGGAAAAGAAACTAGTGTGAACTTTAGTATTGAATCTCCTAATGAATAAAATGTTTTCCTTATGTTCATTGCTTCAAAAATAGGGACAGGCCCAATGCCTTTCTCTATTATTATTACTAAGGAACAGGTATGTATCAGTGGTGAAATCCAAAGTTTTTTACTATCAGTCCTGTGGGCGTGGCTTGGTGGATGTGGCAGGGGAAGGATACTGCAAAATCTCCATTCCCACCCCACTCTAGGGAAAGGATATTGCAAAATCCCCATTCCCACCCCACTCTAGGGGAAGGATATTGCAAAATCCCCATTCCCATCCCACTCTGGGGCCAGCCAGAGGTGGTATTTGCCAGTTCTCTGAACTGCTCAAAATTTCCGCTACCGGTTCTCCAGAACCTGTGAGAACCTGTTGGATTTCATCCCTGGTATGTATCCTTAAGAATATTGAGAGGCACGTCAACAAAAATGACAGTTATGGGGGAAACTTGTTCCCGTAAGTTGAATTTCTTATCACCAGTTGAATACAGTAGAATCCATACGGTTGAAAGGGATCTTGGAGACCTTCTAGTCCAACCCCTTCCCCAAGGCAAGAGACATTATTCCATCTCAGACAAATTGTCCATTCCAGCAATGGAGCACTCATAACTCTGATAGGAAGGCCGTTCCACTGATTAATTGTTCTCATCGTCAAGGAAATTTATCATTATTTCTGGGTTGGATCTCCTTCTGACAGTTTTCCACCCATTGATTCTTGTCCTACCTTCAGGTGCATCAGAGAATAAGTTGACCCCTACCTTTCTGTAGCAGCCCCTCATGTACCAGAAGACAGCTATCATGTTATCCCTAATCCTTCTTTGTTAGGCTACACCAGTGGTGGGTTTCAAAATTTTTTACTACCAGTTCTGTGGGTGGGGCTTGGTGGGTGTGGCATGGCTTGGTGGGCGTGGCTTGGTGGGCGTGGCAGGGGAAGGATACTGTAAAATCCCCATTTCCTACCAATCAGCTGGGACTTGGGAGGTAGAGAATAGATGGGAGCAGGGCCAGTCAGAATTTTTACTACCGGTTCTCCAAACTACTCAAAATTTCCACTACCGGTTCTCCAGAACCTGTCAGAACCTGCTGAAACCCACCTCTGGGCTACACCTAACTCCTTTCACATTTCATCATATAGTTTAGCCTTTACACTCCTTATTATCTTTGTTGCTCTTCTCTGAATTCTTCCTCAGCATCTTATTTTGTATCTTGGTGACCAGAATTTGACACAGTATTCCAAGTGTGGCCTCACTAGTATAATATAGGAGGAGCCGTGGTGGCGCAGTGGTTAGAATGCAGTACTTCCGGCCAGTGGTGGGTTGCTACTGGTTCGTCCCGGTTCGGGAGAACCAGTAGCAGCGGCGGTGGGAGTCTCCACCCACCTGCCCGGACGTCATGAAAAATGCTCTGCGCATGTGCAGAAGCGCCACGCGCTTGCAAAGCGCTGTGCGCACCTGCATGCTCCCAATAGCGAACCGGTAGTGAAGAAAATTGAAACCCACTACTGCTTCCTTCCTTCCTTCCTTCCTTCCTTCCTTCCTTCCTTCCTTCCTTCCTTCCTTCCCTCCCTCCCTCCCTCCTTCCTTCCTTCCTTTCTTCCTTCCTTCCTGTTAGAATGCAGTATTGCAGGCTAATTCTGCTGATTGCCAGCAATTTGATCCTGAGCAACTCAGGGTTAACTCAGACTTTCATCCTTCTGAGGTTGATAAAATGAGGACCCAGATTGTTAGGGGCATTAGGCTGACTCTGTAAACTGCTTAGAGTGGGTTGTAAAGCGCTGTGAAGCGGTATATAAGTCTAAGTGCTATTGCTATAGAGTGGTACTATCACTTCTCATGATCTTATATAACTTGTGCAAAGTGTACCTGTGAAATAGGTATTGTCATTTCAACATAGTTTGTACAGAAAAGATTGCACCAGATATTTTTTTAATTAGTCAAAACACTGACAGAAAGATAGAGCCTGGGAAACTCAGAATAAGATACTTAAAAACCACTTTACTTTTTCTGTCCGGAAAGCCTTTGGCATCTGTTTTCCCAATCACCACACCAATTATACTCTAAGGAGAGAAAAAAAAGAGATTGCAGAATATATACATCAAATACAGATGTACAGGATGGATTTCTTTTCACAGACTCTATATTCCTTCATTAATTAAAAACATGTTTTAACTATTTTAACATACTTGACAAAAACATTAATTTATTAACAGAAATCATTCTTGCAATATACAAAAAGATGTGTGAGAAATAATAAGGGATATTATTATTATGAATAATAAGAATAGTAATATAAGGAACCCTTTTAATGGTAGTGAATGAATAACAGAAATGATGATGGCACTAATTAGGAGGGGAGGGACTGTGTCCACTTAATAAAGGCTTGTAGTTTTTTGTACATTCCAGGAAGTAATGGTGGGTGGTCCTAATTCTTCACATGTTTAATATAACTCACATTTTATTTTGCCTCCATGAGCTCTCAAGAATGGATTATTTCAAGGACCAACTTCCTATTATATTCAAGCATGTGTAAATCAACCAAAAAACCCCATATCTTTCTAAGTAAAAGCAGCTTCTAAGCATGCATGTGTGAACAGTTGAATATCCAAATTAGAGGAACAACATTCCTGTTTTCATTTAAGAGTTATAGCTATTCTGAGCTTCAGTTATTTAATCAATTTTTACTTTGTTGTCCAGCTTCAGAAGGATTCGTTTAAGTAAATATATGCAGTTGTTACGAGTAGATCATGGAAATAAACCGTTTCAAAGAATTTAAACAATCAATAATTTTATTTCTCTTAATTTCCAGCACTGGAAAACACAATTAACAAGTACTGAAAAACAGTCTCTTAAATTTCTGTGATCATTTTAGTCACTAGGTGGGGCAAGAAAACAATTCCTCCATTTATCTGGATGAGTTCATTCAGAGTATCTGTGTAATAAAATATAATTTCCTCAAAGTATCCCAAAATTTGCTTTTTAAAACATATTCTATTAATCTACGTTCAAAACATTTTTAGTTTCCTACTCACAGTAATTTAATTAGATGGCAACATATCCTGTGCATAATTCTATTGATAATAAAAGAACTGGTTCCTGGAATCCAAAATGTCATTTAATGCCTTAGGACTTACAACAGTATTTACTTCAAAGACTTCTTAAATTTTATCTTTAGAAAATTATTTAGTCTCTTTTAAGCAAGCAAAATCCCATAATTCAAAATTAAAAGCATGAGATCTATTCCTAAATCTTTTGTATATATCTTTAATTTTGAGTGAATTATTCCCAAATGTGTACAATTGGGATTGTAGCCACACTGTTCAGCTAATCAAGGGGAAAAGAAAAAACTTCTGTGTCCATTTGCCAAACAACTCTTTGTTATTTTTCTTTTCTGTCTTCAAGTAACATTATTTAGAGTACTGGATACAATATTTGCATAATTTAAAACAGTGACTTAGTGACCCAGTTATATATTGTTTCTTTGAAGTAATGCTTTACAATGTAGTTTTCTGGAGCTAGTTGTTTACTTTTAAGGAAACACATACATTTACACATACCCCTATCTAACTATTTGCTACTAACTTCCTAAAAGATGAATCTCTTAATGCTTGACAAATAAACCAATTTTTTACAGACTGAAAGCAAGATTTGTTTACTAAGTCAAATGACAAAAAAATAGGTTCTGGCTCAGTTCTTTTTCTAATACTTAATCTCTTCTCATTGCTGTAAAATAAATAAACCCTTCTGGACAAATATAGCTGACCCATGAGTTAATACTTTGGAAATGTTTCTGTGATTATAATGTATAATTATAATGTATAATGTATAATGTATAATATAACCCAGGCTGGAAACCAGGAAACTGTGAATTCTAGTTCCGCCTTAGGCATGAAAATCAGCTAGGTGACTTTGGGCCAATAACTCTCTCTCAGCCCAACCCACTTCACAGGATTGTTGTTGTTGGAAAAATATAAAAAGGAAGGAGTATTAGCTTATGCTCACTACCTTGAATTATTTATAAACACAGTAAAGGTGGGATAAAAATAAAAATTAACTTTATAAAAACTATGGTTGAATATCATTTAAATTTTGTTAGGAGGAAATTGCTGATCTGATTTTGTGTTACATCAACAAAGGATTCGTGCTGATAGTATGCAAGTGATTTGGGGTTCCATAAAAAGTGAAAAGTTTAAATAGTCCTCAGATAGGACAATTACTTCCTTTCTACAGAAGCAATTATTTATGTTAACAGTGAGACGGAAATAAAGATGAATTATGCAAAACAATGAAATTTTGAGTTTACAAATAAACCAGGAAAATGGTTGGCATATGAGCTGCACAAAGAAAAACAAAAGAAAGTGATACTAATGTTACCAGAAGGAAACATTGTAAAAACAGATAATGCAAATACCCAGGAAGTGTTTCACCACTATTATTCTATGATTATATAAACAGAATTTACCAAAGAATCAGTAATTTTGAATGTACCTGTAAGAATAAGAGAAGTTTGTAAAATTATTAAAAAGACTAAAATCACAAAGGCATCTGGCCCAGATGGTCTGCCAACATATTATGTTTTGAGGAATAAATTTTACAACCTTAACAACAAACAATGGATATTTATTTTACAGAATAGAAAGATTCCTGACACTTGGAAAGAAGCAAATACAGTGTTCATATGTAAAGAATCCCAGGACCTGACTTTAACAAGAAATTATCAACCAGTATCTTTCTTGAATCATGACTATAAGTTGTTTAAAATGATTTTGGATGAATGGTTGAAAATAATTTTATAGGACTTTATTCATGAAGATCAATGTGAGTTTTTATCTAAAGGAAAATTACAAGATAATATTAGAAATATATTGAATATTGGATGTATTGGATATTTGGATCAACATAATGAAAAGTAAACTGCACTGATTTTCTTAGATGCAACTAACATCTTTGATAGTTTTAACTGAATTTTCTTCTTTAGAGTTCTGGAAGGTATGAATTTTGGAGATAATTTTATTAAATACATAAGATTGATTTTTACCCCATAAAAAGCCCAAATAATTGTTAATGGAGAATTAACAAACAAAAAAAAACTTTGTGAGATTCAAAAAAGAAGACAAAAATATTTGCTGTCTCCACTCTTGTTCATTTTAGTTATCCAGATAACAGAACAGAGTCATAAGATGAGAGAATAGTGGAAATAAAAAATTAAAAACAAACTTGTAAGGGTGTTTGTCAATGACCTGGCTATAGTGTTTGGAGGATCCATTAGAGACATTAACAGGAAAATTAAATGACTTGGTTTGCTGGTAAGTTTTAAGATTAATAATTGGAAGATGAAGATATTAACAATCTAAAAAGATTGAGAAAAAAGTAAAATAATTGGGTATTATTAAATAGATTTTAAAAACCATTTTATTAGGTTTAGTGCCATACTGAGAATATGGAATAGATGTATATTCAGGTTGTGCTCAAAAATACATTTCACAGAAGAGAAACAAAAGGCAAAGACAAACGGTTAACACACCAGAATCATTGTAGAATCACCAAAGGGAACTATAAAATTAAGCCAAGATAGAAACTAATGACAGGATATAGTTATCAATGGTTTTTCCATTTACAGTTATTAGAAAGATTTAAAATGGATTAAAAGACTTATGGTATGAAGCAAAGTAAGACAGAATTTGAAATGCAATTTCATACTGATTAGGAACATGTGATTACTAAAATATATGAACTTTTATTGAAATTTAAAATGGAACAACAGGTTAAACATGTATGACAAAGTGGGCTAAGAATTTTGGTTATAATATACAGATGGCTCAATGGGAAAATATGTGGTCAAAAGGGTTGAAATTCCGAGACTTCCGGTTTCCTTGTCTTCGGCGACGGCGGCGCTCTTTGAAGCTCCGCCAGCCCCGCCGCCTGTAGAGCCGCTTCGAGACGAAGAAGCGGCTCGAAAACTTCTAAATCCACAGGATTGAAGAAGGAGAGATCGCAGGGCACAGGTTGAGCCCCTGTAACCCCCCAGGGAAGTTTCTGGGGAGAGAACAGGCGTGGCTCCCTCCCAACCTGCTGGAACTCCGGGCGACGTGGGACGATTCTGCTTTTGCAGAACAAGCCGGCTGCAGGAAACTTAAAGCGAAAGAACCAGTTTTAATAAACAGTGAAACTACCTGAATCCTGAAATTTGGAAACGCAAGTATTAGCACTTTGTTGACTTTTCAATCTGAGAAAATGCGAATGAGTGAAAGTGCTTTGAAAAAATATGGCGCCTAGCTTCAGAGTTAACGAGCCAGCGAGTGTGGATTGGTGAAGTTACTTTGTTTTGCTACAAAGTTTCCAAGTTGCTACTAAGCTGCCTTGCTTGTTATAAGAGAAATAACTGGGAAATTTTTTCCCTTTTCAATATTGGACTTTGCTTTATTTTAACCCTTGTTTGATCAAATCTGGGGGACTTTTTTAGAAGTCTTTGTGCAGGAGGGAAAGGAAAAGGAACTTCCCTCTTTAGAAAAACTAGATCACGAGCCAGGATGGCTTCAAAGAAGCAGGAAGGGAAGGCATTAGGGGGGGGATCCCCCACACACAAACATCAAACGCAACTTCCCCCTGCTCAACAGCTACAAACCCAGAAAAAAGAATTTGATGTGGGAGATTTAAAAGAATTTATTTCTAAAACTCTGGATGACAAATTTCAAAAATCTCAACAGGGGATAGATGATAAACTTCAAAAATCACATCAGGAATTTATGCAGGAAATTAATGAAGTTAAAGACATGGTGAAACAGAATCAAAATAAGGTGACCAAAAAAATATCAGAAGTGGCGTCTGGCCTGGCAGAATTTATTGGGAAAGTTGATTTTAAAGTTGAAGAATTCAAATCAGAAGTTAATGTTAAGATGAAAGACAATGATTATAAAATTGATGAAGTTGACAATAAAATGCAGAGAATTGAAGATGAGATTGTTATGATACAATTCCGGGCGATGGAATTTGCCATACGGCTTCGGGGAATTCGAGAGGAGGAGAGACAGGACTTGAGACAGGTTTGCTCTGAAGCCTT